AGCTGGGTTGGACTGTTGGATGCTTCACTCCTTGGAAGCTTGTATGGTCCCTTTGGCACCATGAAAGTCCTCAAGGAAGAGGATTCAGGTGAGTTCCAGCTCAGGGGCTTCTGAGACCCATATATGAGGTGCATGGTGTCTTCAGCAATAGAGACTACTTTCCTCTTCTGCAGGGCAACCCAAGGCAACAGCAATAGGCTGGATGTTTGGGGAATTTCTTAGTCCTAACCAACAACATAAAGAGGGATCCTCTCATGTGATAATGCAGCTTTTTTTAGGGAAAATCTTGGAGGGAGTGCTATCAGCCCCGCTAAGAAAAAGTTCATATATATATATATATATATATATATAGTTATTTATATTATATAATATATATTTATATCATTATACGTTCAAATGTTTTATTTATTTAGACATTTAATTTACCTGTGTTATAACTTGCTTGTTTATTTGGTCATTTTTTGTACATAGTTAATACTATGAATCCACCCGGCGTTTTCAGTGATCCATACTGTTATTTTAACTCCCTCTTTCCTTCCTTGTATTTTCCTCCCTCTCTTTCCTTAAGGAGACTTTCTTTTTCTGTTTTTTCAGATCTGTGGTGATCCCTGCATGCTGGAATTTTCTTCAGAATAAATGCTCCCTGCTATTGCACACTACTTGGGTCTGGGGTCTTTCTTTAGTGATTCTTGGACCCTTACAACAGCTCAGTAGAACCAAAAGTCACAGAGCCAGTGTGGAAGGAATGTGTTCGGTGCCGCATTCTTTGCCATACCCTGAGCAGCAGGAGTAACCACAGCTTCGAAGAGAGTCAATGAGGATTCAGGGCCGCCCTGCAGAGGACCCTGGCAGAGATTCCCTAAAGTGCCAGGCACATGGCTGTGAACTCAAGCGACTGCCTGCCACTCTCTGGCTTGCTTGTAGCTCCTTGCAGCCCCCTGTGGTCCCTTGGCTGGGAGGCAGAGGCTAGGAACACAGTGGGGCTGATGTCATTGTCCTGCCCCAAGGCTCCCAAACCTACCAGTCTCCCCTCCCCCTCCACTGCTGCTCAGCTCTCTGGGTCTGGAACCAGCCCACACATGCAAAGTCCCTGCCTCAGACAGTGTTCAGACTGACAGCAATTTCAAGTCTCCTCTGTGAGTTTCTGTTCTGACCTTCACCTTCAGCCACATCCAGTCTCCCTCTCAACCGCCATCATCCTCTGACTTTCCCTCTAACCTCCAGCCAGCCATTCTTCACTGCTCACCAGCTTCCTTCTTCCTACATCTGAATCCCAAATTCCGTGTCTCCTCCAGGTCCCTCTCCACCACCCTGTCCTCCCTGTCCTGTGTCTTGTTGTCTATTGTCCTCATTCTTGCCCCAGTCACCCAGACACCCTCCTCATCCCTCCCTAGTTATTCTACCCTCTCTTGCTCTCCCTTCTAGCTCCTTCCTTTACTCTTATGCCCAGTTGAAGACAATGACTACCTATCTTGGCACAAGGCTGTGCTTTTCTCCTTAGCTCTTTGACACTGGGACTTAAGGCCTCCAGGAAACTTCTGAGATTGAAAGCAGCTTCTGGGGCCTGAGGATAACTCGGGTTAAGGGCATACACTGTCCTTTGAGGAGCCACATGAGAATTCCATCCTCTCTTCTGAATTATCCCCTGAGCCTTATTGTGGGGATGATGGGTAGGTAAAGCCCTTGCCTTCAGAGTTCTGCATATTGACTGGTTATGGTTTACACAAATCAGACTATGCTGACTGGCCATGAATTCCCAAGGCTCTACCAGACTCAACTCCTCTTTGCTGGAATGACCCAAACATGCCAGTGCCCCATGCCTTTTCTCTCTTTAGCATTGCTTGTTGGGGTTGAACTCAGATCTTCCTGCTTCTGTGTGACAGGCACCTTGCTGTCTGCCTCATGTTCCTCCTCAGCCCCTATTCTCTATTCAAACTTAATTTTTATTATATGTATCTGTGTGATGCTCATTTGTGCACACCATGGCTAGGATGGGACACCAACCCAAGGAAATAAGTGTTCTGCATGGTGAGGTATCAAGTGGGAGGGCCAAGGGTGAGATATAAAGGAGAAGAAAGCAACACCTGGCCTCAGGAGGACTTGATAGGTTGATGACTTGTGCCAAGCAAGTTTAGGAAGAACTGAAGCATCCTATGTGCTATTGGCAGAGAGGGTGTGATAAAAGTCAGCAGAGCTAAATCAGACGATGTTGGCAAAAGGAACACTGAATACTCCAGACACGGCTTCTTCAAGACTGATAGCCACAGCCCAGGGAGAGAGTTGATTCTCCAGAAACGTCACCCTGGGTTCCCCCGGGACACTGGCTCCAGCCTTAGACTGGCCTTGCCAAATCTGCCCCTGGACATGAACAGAGAACTGAAGTCTCCCTCTGAGAAGGTCTTGGGTCTGGCTGGCTCCGCACAGGTCCTGGGGATGGAAATCACATCAGACTTAGCTGCAAGTGTCTTTGGCTGCTGAGCCATCTCACCAGCACTATTAAACTTTGGAAATAGCTCTGGTCTGGGAAATACTTCACCTCTGTGCTCTGACCTCCTTGTATTTCCTACCTGAGAACATCCTTGGGAACTGTTATCTTATGTTTTTATCTTATCTCTTTCTGTTCTAACCCTTCACTCCAGGGGATGACATGGATTCCTAGAGGTCAGCACAATTTTAGGACTCATCTGTTTTCTTCATCTGTCATCCATTTTCTTCCCCAAGCTAAAATTTTTTTCCAAGGTGGTTTTTTTTTCATTTTTATTTAACTTCTTAAGATTGACGTTATTGTTTATCACGTGTGTTTGTGTGAGCATGAACACATGGGTGCCATGAATGCCAGAAGAGGGTTTCAGATCCCATGGAGCTGGAGTGTCAGGCAGTTGTAAGCTTCCTGACATGCTGCAGCCCAGTCCTGATCCTCTGATAGGCTCGCAAATGCTCAAAGCACTGAGCCCTTTCCCAACCCCAGAGAGTTTTCTTCAGCCTTGTCAAACTGTTTCTTAGTGTAGCCAAATTCATAGTCTACCAATGCGACATCTAACGTTACCTCTTGAATTTACTTACTCTGCCTCAGAGATAGAGGAAACAAAAATGCCTGTGACCAGTAAGCCCCGTGCCCAAGGACAGAACACTGGATTTTATAGTTTATGGAAGGTAACAATGTGCTTGATTACGTGTGGGTGGGAAGTATGTAGGCAGGAAACACAGCGGAATGTAAGCTTGTCTCCGAGTGGCTGTAGGCAGGAGGCCCATAGGCAGGATATATGCTAGTCCCTCATTGGACCTGATGGGAATTGTGGGATTTTGCCTTTTTGAGCCCCTGCAAACCATGAGGCCATTTTCCCGAGAACCCTGGTATGGGCCTGACTAAAGTACGTCCACCTGGCCAGTACTGAATTAAAGCTTGCTTCAAATATCACTTTAAATTGTGGTAGTGGCCTTATTCTTCACTGGTGGGATTAACACCCACATGTGAGTAATCCTAGATGTGCGGTCTGGGGTTTGCGTCTTCCTTTCTCTTCTGCTTCATTTATTTTTGCTCAACAATTCCTTATGGGTTGAGACCCTTCCCAGGTAAGGCGGTGTACCTTCCCAGCCCAGTTACCTCTGACTCTAGCTCTACCTGAATTTTAGGCTTCCCTCTTTCCAGCCCACGGGTCAGGTATCGCCCTGAACAGTGTAAGGTCACACCGTGGTGTGAGGAAGGCCCTGGGTCAACAGAGCAAGTTCAGTCTGTTCGTGAGGCTTTGGCAGGGTTGATACACTTTGTTTACATCACCAGAGAATTTCATTTGATTGTCATAAATTGTGTATTTCCAGTTACTTTGTCAAGGGTCTGTTTACTCATTTGATTTCTTTAACAAGTAGAATCCTGCTGTGAGCTTTTATGTCAGAAATGTAGGTGGATCTATTTGTGTCCTAGGACATCAGTATTTACTGAGTAATAACAAATCCACAAGCTACATCCGTTTTACTGGCTTCAATTTGCCATGGACTCCAGTTATCTTTTGTAAGTGGCAGTGGAAAATAGGAGTTCTTTACTTCAATATTGAGTGCTAGTTTTAACTCTCAGATTTGTTCATTTGTTATTGTTTGGCTGGCCTTGAACTCAGAGATCTACTTGTCTCAAGATTCCCAAGTGCTGGGATTAAAGGCGTGTGCTACTCCTGCCCGACAGCTGTTAGATCTGATACTACATATCATACAGGGTGTGTGCATGGGTGTGTATATGATGTATGTGTAGGTTCTGGGATGGCACAGAAGGATTATCGAGTCCATTGCATCACCAAAGCAGAGGTAGAGGTGGTTCAGCCCCAGTTGACCACATAAAATAGTAAGGAGGCCAGTTGGAGAGCTGTAGGCTAACAGGGCTTGGCCAGGCTCAGGTTAAATGGAACTCTGTAGGCTGAAGTGCAGAACCATGGGTGTGGCGGAAAGGAGAAGGATAGGTCAGGACGAGTAGACTACAGAGACAGGAACTGAGCTTGTGTGACCAGTAGGCACTGAGCTGACCCAGGGGACCATCACAAGTTCCCTGTTTGTTGGCCCCTTGACACACACACAGGAGCCTGTCGGGGGTTGGTGGTGAGCATCTCCAGGTAGTGTGAGGTCTGCCCCTCTCTCTGGGTCCAGGTGAGGGGGTTCACCCTTCTTCAGCTGGGGATACATGACAATTTCCCAGCTCTGATTTTCCAGATATTGTCTCGTTTAAGGTGATGGTTGCTGTGATGGAACATCATGACCAAAAGCCAGAAAGGGGGGGAGGGGTTATTTGCTTGACACTTCCACAATGTATCATCAACAGAAGAGGCTCAGACAGTAACTGGTTTTGATATTCTCAAGTGTGGATCTGATTTTGATATGTCAGACAGTAACTGGTTTTGATATTCTCAAGTGTGGATCTGATTTTGATATGTCAGATGTGAAGTCTTTTCACTTTTAGGAATAAGTTATATATCTGCCTTGCCTTATGGGCGGTACTGGGCAGAAGGTATCAACTTGTTTGTAAAATGGAGAAAATTTGGGAAAGGGTCGGCCTGAAAGCCCTCATTTCACATGACAAGGAGTAACCTAGCACAGGACAAGGCCTGATCTCCACAGGGTTGAGGTGAAGAATGAGAAAGGAACACAGCAAGATGGAGTCCCTGATGACAATGACCTGTCACTTCTTGATGGAGTGATAAAGGAGGCACGGAGACTGTCAGTTTTCCTACTTCACACCATGTTTGGTCAGAAGTGAAATATCACAGATCACCAACACCATCAGAAGGTTTTCTTTTCTGGCTGTGAGGCAGAAGAGATGGGTACTGTTCCAGGGAAGTCCAAGAGGCAGCTGTGGGCACTGAGTTCCCATTAGATTCGTGACTGAGCGGCAGCATGGGGAAGCTCCTGCTGACAGAAAGGAGACATTCATTAGAGTGGGCCCTTGCCACCTGCAGCCTACTCCACCTCCCATGGAAACTCTCCCACTTCACCGACTGTGCAACTCAGCTTCCAGGTGATTTCTTTTTCTTTTTTGATATATTGGTTTCAAACCTTTCTGCCATTATTACGTCCAATGAAATTGACGTTGTGAAATATATTTAAAAAGAGACAGTGAATAAAAATTTACATGTGAATGGTTGGCCAAATAGCTCTATTTCTGGTTCTGCTGATCTTTTATATTACTTTTAATGTATAGTTGTGGGAGCTGTTAATTTGTTTGTTCTTGTTGTTTGTTTTCTGAGACAAGGTTTTGCATTGCAGCCCAAGTTTGCTTGCAACTTCCCATGTCCCAAAGGCTCTGGCCTCAGCTTCTCACATGCTGTGATTACAAGTGTGTGAATCCAAAACCAGGGGATTTGACATTTTTATAAAACTGTTATTTTGAAATAATTATACCTACTCAAAAACAAAAAAGCAAAAGAAGACACAGAGTTTTGTATGAACTGTTATTAGATTTAATGTTTTTACTAAGCATGCTTATAGGGAAATTTTTGAAATAATAATAGAAAATTAGAATATCAGTGTCTTTGTTCTAGACTGCATGTTGAAAAACCCGACATGATGATGCTGAGAAAGAGGTTCTAGTTTTTGTGTGACCAGTTGATTTTATTTCCAAAGGACATAAACATTAGCATCGTATTTCCATATGCCCTGAAGTCTAGCTAAGTACATTGATCAAACTAGATTAGGTTTTCCTCTTTTCTATTCTTTTTTCGTTTCTTTTCTTTCCTTTCTTTTTCCCTTTCCTTTCCTTTCCTTTTTCCTTTCCCTTTCCCTTTCCTCTCCCCTTTCCCTTTCCTCGCCTCTCCTCTCCTCTCCTGTCTCCTCTGCTGTCTCCCCTTCCCTCCCCTCTGCTCTCCTCTCCTCTTTTTTTTTTCCTTTCTTTGAACTGGTTGTTTGCTTTAACACAATCTCACCATGCAGTCCAGGCTGGTCTTGACTTGGTGAATCTTTTGCCTCAGCCTCTTTGGTGACAAATCTCCTTTGTCTACTCTGGTTTTGTCTTAAAGACTATAGTAAACCAGTAGCTACCAATGCATGGAGTCTGCCACAACTATGAGCTTTGGTACTATTGTTCAGGAAGCTTTTTGTCTGGACACTGACTCATGCCACAATAATGACAGTCGTAATAATGATATCTGTCTTCCTCCTCCTTATTTTGAGATTGGGTTTCTTCCTGCATCTTGGACTTGCTTCAAACTCATCATGGAATTTCATCCTCCTGTGTCCACTTCCTAAGGGCTGGGATTCTAACAATATGCCCCATGTCCATCTGATGCGATACCAGATTTAAAACAAGTTATACTAATAGGATTGTGGCTAAAATATTTGATCATCACAATGAGCAAGGAACAGAGCCTTATACGGCTTTAAATGGCTACCATTAGACATGAATTCCAGGTGCCAAAAAGTCTACATTCTGAAAAGTTTTAAATGCTTCCTCCTCTAAGGAAGCTACATGCTACTGCTTGTCCTAGTGCTGAGGTAAAGGAAACTCAACTCTAAATGCCCGAGAACAAAATAGGCAAACTGAGCTAAAAAAATGTCTTTAGGGGCTGGAGAGATTGCTCACAGGTTAAGAGCACTGTCTGCTCTTCCTGAGTTCCATTCCCAGCACCCACATGGTGGCTCACAACCATCTATAGAGAGATCTGGTGCCCTCTTCTGGCGTGCCTGCATACACACAGAACAGCGTATACGCAATAATAAATAAATCTGAGAGAGAGAGAGAGAGAGAGAGAGAGAGAGAGAGAGAGAGAAATGTCTTTCCTAAGCACACCTTGGATGTCTTCCTACTGAGCAAAGTTGTGGAGCAGTGTCCTTATGGTCTCCCTGCTGTGCAAAGGCACACCAGGACTTCAGGCAACTCCTTATTCTCTTAGGGTCAGTGAGGTGGCTTAGTGGCTAAAGAGCTTACAGTGCAAAAATGATAACCCGAGTTGAATCTCTGGAACAAGTAACGATGGAAGAACTGATCACAGAAAGTATTGCTCTTTTGTTGTGACATTAATAGCTTTAAAACATAAGAACTTCACTAGAGCAATTGCAATGCCCAGGACCCACACTGGAGACAGATTATACGCTGCAGTTCCTGAGACTAAGATGTGATGGTCCTCTCAGGTGCCAATGTCTTTCCTGTTCCTTGCCTTTTGTAGAAACTAATCTTTCACAGCGATGAAGATCCCTATAATGACTGGGTTAATGACTCTTCTGATGATAAATCTTTCCTCCTGGAAATTGAGAAGCAGCAGGAAACTGTCCTGTTGAGGTTGAGATTCTGATCTTGGAGGCAATGCTTTACGTTTCTGTCTAGAGTTACATCTCATTTTGTCCTTTCTGCTCTGCAGGTGCCAACACATGCTAGTGTCCAGGCTAATTCACGCGTCACTTCTATTTGTTGTTTATGATATCTAGTGAGTTAGCACAATCAGATTGTGGTTTCTGCACATCAGGGTCAACTGTACATGAAAGAGTTTGATTACAGAGATAAATCCTACTAAACCACTATAAATACATTCCTAACTCACTTTCCCTTTAAGTACAGATGTCAGCAGCTACTCAACTGCATGTTGCATGGGCAGGGAAGTAAGATAGAAAGAGTAAAATGGGGGGGGCTCCTAATTAACCGTGTGAAAACACCCTTGCAAATGTTTTCTGATGAGCATGTTGGAAGTGTCATGGTAGTTGCACAGGCATGTGAGGTGTTCAGAAGCTTGTTTCATTCACCTTTTGGTATCTGAGCAGAAGCTAGTTACTGAACTGGCAGCACACTCTCCAAAGGTCAGTGTTGGGGGCTGGTAAGATGGCTATTTGGAAGACAGCTCAGTGGGGAAAGGCACTTGCTATGTAAGCATGAGGCCTGGAACTCCCATCCCAGTACCCTGTGGGACACATATTCCAAGTCCTCTGCAGACTAAACTTACCCAGGACCAGGTGAGACCCCAGTCAGCTCCTTCTTTCTTTGGTAAAAGCATTTCTTGCGTATCACGGCTATCACGGCTATCACGGCTATCACGCCTATCCCAATAGTGAGGGGTGCTACCACAGCTCCCAGGCTGATCTTCGTATTTGCCGTGTTCTGAATTGGGGTGGTAGTTGAAGGTGCAGTAGCAGTTATAACCTGGGTGTTATTTTGTGCCTTTGAAGTCGATCCTTAAAAAAAAAAAAAAAGGCAGGAAAAGTCTGGATACAATTAAAAACACACCTCCATCAGCACCTTCTCTCCCCAGGCAGCCAGAGGGACTCATGGGATCGATAGCTGTTTTTACAAGGTTCTGAGTAGAGAGAGGAGGAGGAATTATCTGCATGATATCCTTGTGGAGTTTATTTAACTATCAAAGAAAGCAAGTGACTACTGAGCCATCGAAACAATGATGAAATGAATGATGAAAAGAATGGACATTAACTCAATAACTCATGGCGATGCTATCACACACACAAACCTCATTTCAACAGAGCTTTCTCCCCCTCTTCCCAGTTACCTGTATGCTCCAAATTTTCTTCACAGTGCAACTTGGTCTCCCTAACCCAGCTTCTGCATTCGCCCTGTGAGGCCATGTTTAAGAAGTCTTTTACTTTCTTGATTTTCTCTCTCATCTCTTCTGTCAGGTTGGATGCAGAATCCACTTCAGGCCCATTCTTAGTATTTGAGTCAATATGGAATGTTTTGGGTCCAATAGGGCTCAAGTCCCAGGATCTGTTGAAACTTCCATCTCCTTCATTCCAGCAACATATCTTGACCTGCAGAGTGAGGGGCTCTGTGCCCATTGGAAAGAGATCAGCCTCTGGCCTTGATGAACCTATCTGCCTACCCACCCTCCCTTCCCAGCCTCTGACCTTGCTCTACCCTCCACTTTGTCCTTTCTGCTGGACCTCTCATGGTCCAGTGATTCACTTTCTTTCTCCATGAAAACAATGAATGTCCCTAACCTGTCACAAATCCTGTTCCTTCCTTCAGGGGCCATCTGATATGTTCTTTTACTTACTTTGTAGCAGTGAGGATAGAACCTATGGCCTCATGCATGCCTGCCAAGCACTCTCCACTGAAATACATCCCCAGCCCTATGCGGCCATTCAAAACTTACCTTTGGTTATTTTATTCTCCTGCCTTACTTGATTCAGCACCTCTTGGAACAGGTAAACTTCACCATTCAAAGTCTGATTCAGTCTGTTTCTCAGATCATCAGTGGCATGACACTTCAAACTCCTTTCGTTGAGTAAGTCTTGGAATTTATAACTCCATTGTCCAGACCCTGACCTGCTAACTGTGAAGCCATAGCAAACAGCAACAGCCTCTGTGAAAGAAACATGCAGTGAGGTTAGGGGTGTGGAGCAAGGGACTCAGAGACAGTCTCTGCCTGTGGCACCAAGAAAGTCCACCTGGAAGGGTGCCTTTAAAAAGAGAGGGGAAAGGGTGAGTGGAGAGAGGAGAAAATCCCTGAGTTGTAATTTCAGATCATAGAACTGAAAATCTTTGCTGGTTAGCGTTAACTGTAAGTTTGATACAGCCTAGAGGCACCTAGAAGGGAGTCTCTCTTGAGGGACTGTTCTGACTGTCAGTGATGTAGGAACAGCCAGCCTGCCATGGGCATTACCATTCCCTGGCCAGGCTGTCTCTGGCTGGATGAGAAATAGAGTTATGCAGGAGCTAGTTATCCAGAGCAAGCATCATCCTGCAGGGTTCCTGCTGTGCCTCTCCAGCTGTGAAGCAAGTTCCTTGTTCATAATTCTGTGTGGAGTAGCAAGCAGGCTGCCTCTGAGCTCCTGTCCTGATTTCCCCAGTGGCAGACTGTGACTTAGGAGTAGAAGTCTAATACAGCAGTTTCTCCCTGAAGTTGTTTTTGGCCAGAGTGTTTTTATCACACAACAGAATGAAGCCAGAACGACCCATTGGCATTCCCCTGGAAGTAACTCAGAGTTCCAGGAAGTGCCTCCTGGAGCTGCTCAGAGGATAGCACACACTACAAGACAAGGAAAATGCAGGATGTTAAGTCTGGTAGTAGGAGAATGGTGATCAAAAATCTCAGGGACATGCATGTGCCAGAGTGGATGTAACAG